CGTGGTAGTAAAAAGATATTATTTAACAACAATATACATTTTGCTTGGAACTTTATCATAAATTATAATAAAGAATTTACCCGATAAATTGGGGATGCACGCTATAGCTCAATAATTTACTAGTTTGTGTAATTAATTAGTGTTATTAGCAAATATGTTATAATAAATTCTTCACTTAAGAATAGCAACGTAACAAAATCTTAGCATCAAAATCATTAGTCGACGTCGTCTCCGACCCTTTGTCTATCAACTCAGCTAAACTCTTGAAATACTAATTTACTACTTTTAAAATCAATCTTGCTTGTACAGAAAGATCAAAATACATGGAAAAAAAAAGGTTTTTTCATCAATGCTCAGCAAATTTACAGTAAGTTCTATTCATAATATATTAATATACCTACTAAGCTTATGCATGATCTAGGTACAGTTGGGAAAAAAAGAGGGACAATTTATTGCATGAAGCTTATCCTATTACCTCCTGGTGAAAAACTAAATGTGGAGTTTGATGAGGATGGTGTTGCCATTGGTGACAATGCCTCATCATTTTCTTTCTTCTTGGGTCAACAAGTTCGTAATAAATCTGTTTGTCCAATACAAGTCAAAGGTTGGAATGAGTATACATCTGAAATATTAGACCATTTGTGGGCTTGCATCCAAGTAATATCGTATCATAATACACATGTTCTGAGGTTTTTTTTATTTCACTTATTAAACAAGTAAGCATTAGCATTTCATTAAAGCTCAAGCAAACATTGTTAATTGACCAACATTCTAGCTTGATAATATTTAGAAGACTTATAGCAATATATTGTTTATGGTCTAAATCAAAGGACAGAAAAATCAAAATGCTTGCAAGTTTATCAGATTTCCAGCTGTACCACTTGATAAAAACTAACTAAAAACCCTAACGTATATTTTTATATAATATTTCTAATATTTTTCCCTAACAATTGATATCCTACTCTAACTACAACAACTGGAATCGCCTCAAAATTTGTATCCAATTGGTGCAGTTTATTCTTGCATTCTGACCCACCTGCAGAACTAAAAAACTGATGACTTTTGACAATCTTAACTAAATGATGGTGTCTGATCAAAATGTAGAGCTGAAGCCCTCCAAATTCTCTTTGTGAACTCATAGAGCCTAAACAGATGATTTGCACTTTCTGAATCATCTTTGTAGAGTACACACAGACCATTAGTTCTAATTCCTCTCTTCATTACTTCGTGCTATAACTATCATGTCTGATTAACATCATTTATCATTAGCATGAGAATCCTTCAGACCACATGTATTAATAAGATCAATAAATGTAATTATAGTTAAGCTTTAGAGGTATTAATGAACTTATTTTTGAATATATCAAGAGAAGTGGTCATTTGATGATCCTGAACAAAGGAGGGAGTGTGTCATGAGACATGCACATCGTTTGTTTAGATATGCAAGGAGCAAATTGAAAAGAAAGTACTTTAGTACGCCGAAAACAAAAGAAGAACGTCTCAAAAATAAGCCAGGTTTCATGACTAAAGTTGAATGGAAGTTCTTGGTCGACTATTGGAGTAATGATACAATTATGGTAATATACTTCGATACTATATATATTTTTTTTTACATAAATTACATATGTAAATGATTAAATTCTTATTACTGTAGGAGAAGAGCAAAAAAGCAAGTGAAAGTAGGGCTCATCAAAATATGCCTCACTACAATGGTACTAAAAGCTTCGGCCGCACTAGACAAGAAATTGTACGTAAATAAATGCATTACTTGTTATTGATACATGATAGAGTAACTGTAATAATGAGTATAATCTGAATTTAAAATCTCTGTGATGTAGAGGAAAAAGAATGGTGGGAAGTGTTCTCGAGTTGATCTACTACTTGCATCTCGTACGAGAAAGTCTGAGAAGGCTGTGAATGCAGTAACTTTAGAAAATAACATCGGTGCAGTAGTAAGTTATGAATTGTTAATAATTATATTCATATAACATTCTCTATATTAGATTCTAACTTAGAAAATTTGTGTAATAATAGGATGAGATAAACAAACTGAAGGAGCAAAGAGATCAAGGTCTCAATGAGAAAACGGATGAGCAAATCATTCAAGATGTGCTTGGCAAAGATAAACATAGGTACTTGAAAGCTTATGGACCTAGTAGAAGTATTACACAACATTTCAAAGTAAAGTCTTCTCGATTAGATCTTTCTGAAGAGGTGAAAGAAGTTAAAAAGAAAGCAAATCAAGCAGTTGAAGAAGCAAGAAAAGATGCTGAAAATGCTAGAACAGAAGCTGAACAAGCTAAAATAGAAGCTGAACAAGCCAAAAAAGAAGCGGAAGCCGTTAGGAATGATGTAGACAAAAAAATTGCAGAGAACAATGCAGTTTGGGAGGAAAAAATTAGTCAACTTCTGGATTTTCTTGAAGCAGGAGGTTCTTTGAATAATGATTCAGGAAGTGATGGTGCATCATAAGTGAAGTAAGTACATCTCGATCTTTCTAAATTATCGTTTCTCTCCCTGAATTCACATTTAGTCAACTATAGCTATTTGTTTTGCTTTGATTTGAGAGTTTTCTTGCTTTAATTTTCTTAGACAATAATCTGTTGTGTAGCCTTGATCAATGTATTCCTAATGATCTAATTTTTCAGTAACTTCATATCATACCTTTCTTCATCTGCTGAACACTAACAAAAATCTCCTAGGACTGATTATATATCCTTAAATGGCCGAAAGAACAAATCTGTTTTGTGGAGAAAAAAGAGTTAGGTAACAAAATAATTTACTCTGGTCTGTGGAGAAAATAATTCCATATCGAGCAGCTCCTGTTGTCGTCGTCTGGCTTGCAGGGAGCTCTTCCTGTCAATTTATTCATGCTGTACCCAAACCTAAATACGGTTGATCTTTCGGGTAATCATCTGATTGGTTTACTGTCAAAAGATTTTCTGAGTTCAACCTATAGCAGCAGTAGTATTAGACCTGTCTGCTAACAGAATTTCAAGGCCGCTTATTGTAAGTTTTTTTTTTGGGTCTAGCATGGCATCACCCTCTTTCTATTTCTTTGCTAGAATGATGTGTAGATATCTTTTTTTTTTTTAAGCCGGAAGGGAAATTATATTACATATTGGTGCTTAAACAACACGTAGAAAATTGCAGGAGTTCATTGTTAGCAAAATGGTACTCCATGATGCTTAAAGAATAAAAATTAGCAAGCATGGAGCCCAAGGACCTGGAAATATTCCATAAAATAAATCAAACCATGAAGAAAAATAAGTAAGAACTACTGTATAAACTAGAAAGTGCATAAGTAAGAACCTGAAAATAGTCCATAAAATAAATCAAACCATGAAGAAAAATAAGTAAGAACTACTATATAAACTAGAAAGTGCATAAGAAGGAAGATGGAAGTCAGCTTGTGACTTGCAGCAGGCTTCATGAGGGGAGATCATTCACCACTTGTCATGTTGAGGAAATGCCTCAACTCATTCAGGTAGCTATCTGTGAGAGCTGGAGGAGAGAAGTGATACTCTCTGTCATCAGTTGTTCACGAGTCACGACTAATCGTGGTAAGCCCGTGAGCAATTCTGTTTGCTGACCTTTTGACATGAAAAACAGTGATAGACCATTGTCTTTGCGTAGCTCAGCTACATCCTTGGTAATCACTACCAGCTGGTGATCTATGCCAGCTCCCGGGTTTTCAAGCATATAACAAAGAGCTTGGGCATCAGTTTCCAAGATTGCAAATCTGATTTCTCTGTCCCATGCTTCCAAACAGTTTTGATTTTTATACTTGCAAACAGTTCAGCAGAAGCAGCCTTTAAAAGTCTTGATTTTGATTGAAAAACCAATTTGCCACTTGCCCTTGTCACATCTTATTATTCCTCCAGCCCCTGCATTTGTCCATGGATATCTAGGAACCATATGTATTGATCTTGTAATATCACATGCCTTATTTGTCCATTCCAAAATGAATGTATCATTTTTATACTTGGTAGCCTTCTATCATATATTATTCGTTTTTTCGAGGCCATATCTGCTAATTCCTGCACTAATATTTAGACTCTGAATCTATCCATGAATCAGTTCAGTGGAAAAATTCCTTCCTATTTAGATAGTTTGCCAAGTATACATGTGTTGGTTTTATTGTTTATAATCTATTGTTTATTAGGCTTTTAAATAATTTTTATAACTATTCTTTTTGTTTTTCATTCTTGTAGGTAAAAACAAGACTGCAAAGCACAAGATATACTACATTTATCAAATTACATATAATGTAATATTTTTATTTTTCTTTAGTAGAAGGATTAGAAGGCATGCCTTCTGTTTTTTTTTCCTGTTTCCGTGTATGTATGTGAATAGTGATGAATCATACTAATTTCAAATATTTTAGTTTGTATGGATGTTAAACATCAATTTGAAACTCTATTTCTCCAAATTTATTATGTGTTACAAAATTTATATATTGGTCTAAAAAAAACCAAACGTGCCTTATCTGACTGAAAAATGTCATTTAAAATTTTCAAGCCACGAACCAACGGCAAAGATCATCGATAGTAAATTTGGTAGCCACGGTAAAATTCGTGACAAACAATTTTAGCCACGATAGTATTTGTGGCAGTAGATATTATGTGCCACGGTAGTATTTGTGGCAAACAACCATATTAGCAAGGGTAATATTTGTCGTTACTAAGTGTATTAGCCACAGTATAATTTGTGGCAAATTAGTTGTTAGCCTCGTTAGTATTCGTGGCAAAAGAATTTGTTTGCTACGTGAAAACCCGTGGCATAAAATTCAAAATTTGCCTCGACATCCTTTTTCTCGTGGCAAATGTCTTGCTACGGCCTCTTGTGCCTCGGGAGCAAATTTTGGAATTCGCGTGGCTACTCTGCATAGCCACGGGAATTTCAAACTTTTGCCACGATTTTTCCCGTGGCACAAAGGTCAATTTGTTGTAGTGATTCCCCACAATTTGATTTAAGTTAACTTAACTAATCATTCAACATAAGAAATCCAATAGGCATGCATTTAAATATCAAGGCATAAATAAATAAATGCATAGTGATCCTAGTATGGCCCCTTGAACTTGGTCTTGAAGCATCTAATCTTCAAACTCCAAGGTCTCCTTGGTACCTTTGGCTCCGTCTTCAAAGAAACATCGCCTTTGACTTCGCCTTCTAGCATGCAAGTACGAGTACTTGGAATCAATCTAAATTAACCAAGTACAAAAATACTTAAAGACACGCAATCCGTATTTAGATTTACAAAAATGCATAACGGTTCGCAGTCTGTATTTTCTATCCTAGTCGGGCCACACTACTAGTCACTTTTATAAAACCTGCATAAGAGCATATCTAATATTCCATTTACCCATTCACTTCCAAAGTGAATGGACCATGCAAATTTTACTAGTAATACAAGCAATATCATAAAGTCATGTATTGATAAATAAAGCGCACTCGTTACTAACTTAGGTCGTTAATACAATTAACAAGCCTAATTAAAACTATTGAATTATTTAACCAATTAAGCACTCTTTAAGCACATAAAACGCTTAGACGCTTAAAAACCGATTAGTAACACTCCCACTAAAACCCGCATCCATATTAATTAAATTAATCCAATTAAATTTAATTAAACGAATAAAGTCATTTTTGTCAAAATTACGCGATTCCAAGAAAAACCAAGGTCGTGCCTTTTTTTTTTTTAATTAAAAATCGAGTACTCGAGGTCCATAAGTGGCCTTGAGCCACTCGCACTAGCTCTAGCTAGTCCTGGACGCAAGCATATGTGTGCTGCACCATGCCCGCACAACAGCTATTAGTGTTGCCTAGTAGCCCAGCTAGCCATGCACGCTGGTGCGTGGTGTTGGGAACTGCTAGCCCAGTTAGCTTGTGTGCGTGTTGCTGAAACTAAGTGCTGCCTAGCAACCCTACCCCAGCTAGCCATGCTCGCATCCCTCGCAACACATACCCACCATTGCTACTTCTCTCTCTCTCGCACACACAAGCATACACCTCTCGGCAGCAGCATTTATGTGGGCTGTGCGAGCAGCCCCTGCTAGTCGAGAGGATGCACCAAGGCCTCCAAACCTCGATTTTCGTGCGAGCTTCGGGAATATTACTCCCAAAAAATTCGTGTGACGATTTTTAATTCTAAATCCAAATTTGAATTAAAATTTGAGCATTTTGAATCAATTTTAAGTCCAACCAAAATTAATCCAAGTAGGTGCAACATCCAAATATTATTCACAAGATCCAATCTTTAATAATTTTAGGCCATTTTGAAACAAAAAAAATTTTGGGCCATGCTTCATTGCTTCATAATTAAATTAACACATGCCATGATTAAAATAACTATGATTTTAACAAACTAACTAAATAAATTATTTAACTATCCAATAAAAATTAATTTATTCAATTAGGACTCAACAAGTTTGACTTTTTCAAACATCCATTGCAATCAAACATTCAAACTCAAGTATGAACATCATGAATTTCAAATCGATTTCCAAAATCATCAAAAATTTATTCTTTGTTCATTTTAGGGTTTAAGTACTCAAGATCTAAACCACTTAGGAAAAATAGGTAAAAATAATCCTAACTTTCACGTATTCATTTTAATAATCTCAACTTTAGGTTATTTTTCGAACTTTAGGGGTCAATTCGCTCAAAATGGTCCCAAGTGAACGGTAACCTATTAAAGAGGTAAATTTTATTTTGGGTTTAATTAACACGTATCACCACGTAATTGGTTAAAATATTAAAAAAAAATCCCTAGCCCCCATCAACGCAACCCCAACCACCACCCATTTCGGGTAACACCTATACATAACCCAGCCCAGCCAGGTCCCCGACCGCCACCCTGCTGCGCCCAGACCCCCTCCCTCGCGTCGGCACTGCCTTTTTCTAGCTCTAGGGTTCCGATAGTGGGGGAGGGGTGGTTGGGGGTTTTATGTGGCTGGGAGGTAGTTTTTAAGGATTTCATGGATTTTAGGTGGGCGAGTTTGGTGGTTTTGGGGGAAGGGGAGCTGACAGGGGGGTAGGGGGAGCTACCGGCACGGGGGTAGGAAAGAGGGTCCTGGTCGCCGTCGTGGTGGTGGGGAAGGTGGTTCGTGGGTGGAGGTTGGGCGGTTTTTTTTTTCAATTTTGTAAGTTTTTCATTTTTTTTTCAATTTTTGTAAGTTTTTCATTTTTTTAATTTTACAACCAATCACATGGTGACACGTGTCATCTTAACATGTTATAACAGGTTGGGTGATTGGTTGGGACCATTTTGATCGAATGACCCCCAAAGTTCGAATTATTTTAAAATAATCCAAAGTTGAGATTATTTAAAGTCAATACGTGAAAGTTAGGATTATTTTTACTAATTTTTCCAATAAAGTTCCATTCTTTGAACTAAATGGAGGTTAATAGTCATATTCCAACACTAACCAAGTTATTTACAACAATCCAGTTGCAACATTTAAGCAAGTTCATGGTTTATGTGGAATTTTGAGCACTCTAAATTAATCATCAAAAAATTACCAAATTTCAAGTATTCATTAGAGCATAAGTGCAGTAGCTTAAACATGTAATCACTCACCTAATCAACATTTATATTCCATAATTAATTAAGGTACAAAGATTTTAAAATTTTCTCGTTCGAAACGAAAAACCCTCTGAAAAACACGTTTTTGCGTGGATTTTGGCTTTTGGAAGCCGTTTTTTTAACCACTTTGTAGATAGAGATCGATTTAGAATGCATTTTCCACTTAATCACTACTTTTTCGTCGAAATCAGGGTTCGTGAACATATTTCTGCATTAATCCGATTTTTATCCAATAAAAATCGAAACCCTAATCAAATTAGGTGTTGATCTAGATTTTAAATCCAATATTAAATCCCCTTAATTAGTATTAATCATAAAGTTTAAATACAAGAAGTTGGGGTTTACGGTGTTCTAAACACCATTCAGAAACCAAACCCCGCCCCGGACCCATGTATAATCAATACGATTAAAAGCATATAAAACAGAAACACATAATCACATTATCGGGTTTAGAGATTATACCCTTGAAGCATGCTTCGCCCGATCATGAACACGAACCTTGAAATGGCAACCTCGAGAGCAAAAACCTTAAGCACGATTCCTCCAATGGCTCTCACCCTCGTGCTCAAATTTGGTCATGATTTAGTAGCTTGGACTAAATCACAATACGACTTAGAGTTTCGTATTCAAGGTTTTCTCACTATTGATGGAGATCTCTTAAAATCCAACTCTATTGAAAATCTCCAAAAACTAGTGGGATATTTATAGAGGTGGGATCACAATAAAAAAGAAAACCCTACCTAATTAATTTATAAACAAAATAAATTAAATAGCTTAGACAAATAATCAAACAACGCTTGTCAAACAAATATGAGGGTTAGGTGAGGACCACAAAGCCTCTCCTTTTTTCCCAAGCCAAAACTAACTCAATCATACTCAGCCAGTTGGCCACCCAGCCTTAGGCATCAAGGGACGCCATGCTTGCGGCCTAGTGCTTGGCTAGGCCTGCTAGCAGGCCCATGCATCGCTGCTGCTCGCTAGCAGGCCTCGCACGCTGGCGGGCTGCTTTGCAATGCTACCTTGCGGGCTGGCTAGGCAGCCTAGCAGCACACCTACGCATGCTAGTGCCTGACAGCCTTACTGCTGGCATGCTTGCCCACAGGCATGCTCGGCTAGCACGCCCAGCCAGTGAGCACGCTTAGCGTGCTGGGCTTGCGGCCAAGCCATGTGCGAGGCTATGGCTTGAGATTTTTACATGCGACATGTTGTTTGACTTAATTATCTTGTCTCATCAATTGCTAAAATCGACTTGACGTTTGACGCTCGGTTTTGACGTTCCAAACTTGGAATCCGACGTTTGAGTTCGAAATATAGTTATTGACGTATTAAAGCTTTCCGGCTTAATCCGTCACTTTAGTTTGGTTACACGATTGGGTGTAACCTATTGGGTTCAGTCAAGAGCAAGCTGTGAGATTAGTTATATTAATCTCACTGATCGGAAGCGGCCTCCAGGCAGGCATTCAGATCACTTGATTTCACTGAATAATTGGCTCCCTAAATAACTCTGAACCCTCTATCGGAATAGTACACTAGTTCGAAGGACACCATTCCTTTCAATGTATCATTAGATTAGTTATAATGTCTATTTTCATAATAATTACTCTCTCTGTCCCTTTTTTTTGCCCCATTTGATTTTGCACAGTCTCTAAGATGCGTCTTTGAATTTCTATATCTTTATTTTCATACACTTATAAATTATAAAATCGTGATATTAATAAAATATATAATGAGACGAACCTAACAAGATCCCACACGACTATATAATATCTTATAAATTAACGGGAATGTATGGTAAAATTTTTATAAAGTTGACCCTAAAAATGGCAATGGGGCAAAAATAAAGGGATGGAGGGAGTATTTTTTTTAACAAATAGATAGATAATTAAAGATATTAATGGTCAAAGTTATGTCTTGGGAAATGTACCAGTCAAAGTGATACAAATATTCAAATACATATGGATTATTATATAAGCCAAAGGCAAGGGGTTGTGGTGTCCCATGTAAAGACTAAAACACCCCTCTTTTTTAATTTTTTTTTGTAAAAAAGTATCACTCTTCTTTAAATATGAATAGAGATAATTATTAAAAAAAAAGAATCAATTGATAAAATAAAAGAAAGATCAATCAATCAATAAAGAATTAAATATCATTACAATTAATTACTTGAATTATCCAATAATGAATAAATTATTCTTTCAAATAAAAAATAATGAATAAATTACAATATTTTTTTTTATAAAGGTCAATCAGTACACTCAATCAATTAATTAACACCCAAATACTTCATCTGTTTTCCTAAGTGTTACTCACTTTCCGTTTTAATCTGTTTTTCTAAGGTTTACTCACTTTTAATTTATTCCTATTATCGCAGCCTTTTATTCATTTTTTAATCATGTACAACTCAACTTTGTTGAACCTGATTATTATATTTAATAAAACTCATACCCTCTATCTCTCTCCTCTTTAAAACAAAAGTACTAGCACCCACATACATGGTTCCCTTTTCTTCTTTTTCTTGATTTTTGTAGTTACAGAAAATAAGTAAGACTTAGGAAAACGGAGGGTGTATAAATTTTCAATCAATCAACCTCGTTTGAATTCCCTTTAAAAAAAAAAAAAAAACCTCAATTGAAGTCAATAGCTAATGGAAAAAATAAGAGAGAGATGTCATTTTTTTTTTCATAAAATATATAACATAAATTATGATTAGACAATATTTAATATTTTTATATTGTTTTATACACTGTTGATGTTCATACATCAACGCAAACATTCAACTCTACTCTTTTAGATTAGTTTGAAAATCAATCACAAAAAAGACATTGAAAGCTTAACTACCTACCTTCACTGTCTCATATTTGCGAATAATGTAATATTTATGTTTATCTAATATATGATCTTAATATTATTGTTCCTCATTGTATGTGTAATTAAATCTTATTAGATAGTTTAAAAAGTAATTTTTAATTTTTTTTCATGCATCGCTAAAGTTGAGAACCAATAACCAATTTCATACGCTAAAATTATGAGTGCTAGCTAGTATACATAAATGAGAACCAATATCGTATAAAATTATGAGAATTAATCGTCAAAGTTGATTAATAATAAGTCTATAACTGAGAAAGTGTAATTGTGCAAGTAAATTGAGATAGAATCATAGAAGCACAAAATACAAACAACTTAGGAACACTAATCATACCCCGTGCAAATGATTATGCTCCTTTTCAACATAAAAAGTCATCAAGTCAAAGAAATTATAATAACACTAGCTTAACATCTACATAAAGGGACTAATTGCGTGCAAATTATTATTATTAAAGAGCTTAATTACAGAAGGCCATATTCTATATATATGTATTCGATATATATATATTTGCATTACAAGCTAGATCTAGGTACCTAATGATTCCTAGTCCATGAATGCTTCATTTAGTACGAAATTAATTACTTAATTAATTAATCCTAGCTAGAATAATAGGTAACACTATATAAAAATGAAAAGCATTGACCTTAATTAAGATATATGATCTAATTAATTGATTAATTAATTAATTAAGTAAGCTCCTAATGATTTGTGCCTCTTCACTATCAGCATCAAGTGTGGTTAAGAGCTGTGAAAGACGATCACTAAGATCATCCATTTCCCTTTGTAGATTTCTTATGTAGTTGCAAGTCTCTTGAAGAACTTTTGAAGCCGAAACCTATTTAAAAAAATACATAATATGGTTAGCAACAATTGATGTATGATATAAATTTTTCTTAAGAAATTAATTAATTAAAAATACATTAAATTACTTGCCAATTGGTATTATAAATATTCGATTTAATTACAATCCTTATAACAACTTGTTCCCACATTTTTGAAAGGGTTCTAGGATACAAAAAAGTAAAGAAAAAAAAGGGTGGGTAGCGAGTGTGAGATGCAACTCAAAAGAAAAAAATAAAGATTACAAAAATTCCAAAAAAGGAAATGAAGCATATATGATAAGACCCTGATATGAAAAATATTTCGAAAGTAATTGAAAGTGTACACTTATTTTTCTCTAATTGTATTTAATTTATAAATGGATGACGATAAAATCAAGTATTAACCATCATAATTAATGTTTAATTTTACTTCGTACACATATTATTTTCTTATAACTCGCTTTTTTTTCTTTCTTGTAAATCAATGACCTAGGTATACAATTCAAATATGTCAAAGCACAATTCCAACTTCCAAGTACTCCCTCCGTCTCAAAATAGTTGACAAATTTGAATTATTATCACTATTTATTTATAAACTTTAACCATAATTTTTTACTAATGTAGTTAAAATAAATTTTATCATGAAATATGTTATTAAATAAGTATTAGTGTAAAAATTCATAATATCAACCTTTTACTAATATTTATTACTAATAATATAATGGTATATATGTAAGATCAAATTAGTGTATTAGCATGCGTGTCAAGATTAATTGTATGTTTCAATTATTATTGGCAGAGGAAGCATATATTAGGAATTTCTCTCGTTACGTGGGCTTCATAATGATTCATTTTCATAAAAACAAAAATGCAACTTTAAAGGCAAAATCTAACTACAAAAATGATATGATTGTTTTACTCTATAAGACTATATCAGTAATTTCCAGATTTTCATAAGTAATTGTCCAACACTCCAACCGTCATTTTAACATGACAACAACTAAAAGATCATACCATCTTCTTAATAAAAATTTCCTTTTTAAATTAATAATGGGTAATAATAATGATGGTTCAACAAAACAAAAGTATATAATATCAGGAGCAACTGTGTTTGATCAATTGTGTTTTAACTAAAAATAAAGGTGATGTGGAGACTTTATTAAATGTATTCCTTTAAGCTAGGAAGCTTAAAGTTGAAGGTAGGATTATAAAATATGCTTTAAATATTTGGTTTATCAAAAATGAGACTTCAATGACACTATAATTCCCATCTAAAGATAAATATATAATTAAGCTATTAAGGTTTTAATTAGATTAGGGAAATACCAAGTTACTTTAAAGTATGAAGGATGTTGAACTTTTTGTTTGTATCTCTTTTTGTGACAAGGGTCTTTCTTAGAAGGTTCAAAAGGTTGGTGAACCTATCAAAAGATTTAATCACTTTTTTTATAATGAAATTATTAAGATATATATTGATAAATTTGAGTATTTCTAATTAACTTCAATTTAATTTTTTTTTTAAATGAAATGTATGTGTAGTATTAAAAAATAAAATCTAAAACTCAAATTGACATTTGATAGTAAGAGAGACTAATCGCATTGTCTTGATCCTTAATTACACATAAACAAAAGAGTTGAAATTTGTCATAAAGTACAATTGTTAAGTCACGATCTTTGGTGTATTAAGTAATATAATTGGCCTAATTAATTTGCAAAAATGAGAAAAGGAAAGAAGCTTTGATTTGAGAATCATGAAGGGTAAGTTTCATATAATTTTAACTATTTTAATAACTCCAATGACAACCTTCACATTATAATCAAAGTAATTTTGTATTATATGAATCCACGAACTCTATTATACACTCAAATTTACCTAACATCATCATGTAAATTTACTTTGTTATATTCAGCAAGGCTCGTGATAACCAAATAAGAAAAAAAATTATTCACGAGTATATGTACTTGCACCTAGGTATACATAATGAATGATCCGATATATATATCTTCTTTGCATTACATACATTACATGGTAATACGGCATGGTAGAAGTAAGAGAGTGACTTAAAACACACAAAAAATGACCATGAAAACATCACTTTAGGTTGGTTCCTTTATCTCTATTTTCATTTAAGGTCATTTTCTTGGTTGTCCTATAGTAGTTGTTAGCTTATACTATTGTACGGCGAAGTTTAGGGCCCAAACGGTTAGAAATTTCATTTAAATAGAAAGTCACGTCGCTTTTAGCCTTTAGCACTTTCTAGGAAATTATTTATCATGGGCATGTGAGCCCTCAATTACTCTCACTACCATAATAACTAATATAACCAACATATGTATGTATTCACCTCTAAAGAAACTTCCTTGTAACAGTAATTATCCAATTTTCTTAAGCAAGCTATTGGTCAATGCCTCAATATAATGGTCGTCAATAACAAGGTAAAAAAAAAAAAAAAATTAAAATATATGTTACCTTGCATCATCTCCGTGTAATGACCATTTTACTCTTATTTGTAAACTTTTTTGATAGCATAACATGTACTCCGTAACTTTTTATATTATTTGGCTCGATTTACGTTTAGTCTTACTTCAGTAGGTTGTTTACCCGCTTAAGGTTAAAAATGTACTTTCGTCATCCCAAACTAATGAAAGGGATACGAGTTATTCATAAATGGAAGTGTTCAACTTTCTTTTCTTACCATCCAAAAGTAGAAATAAAAACTCAACCTAGCTTGGAGCAAATTATTGTTCAAAGGAGTGATAAAAGTTGTAGAAAAATATGAATTCAAAGCAAGAGGTTTTTCTCATCAGTAGAACAAGTCAAAATTAGTTGGCTTTGAACAATTCTTATGAAAAGTGGTTGAATTATGTGAAGCATTATAACTACTAAGATAGAAAGTCAAAATTATGGTTACTCAAATATGAGTGTAAAAGTGTAGTAATATCTTCATAGAACTATCAACCACAATCTTCAGTTAAATTAGTTATATATGTTTTCTCAAGCTTATATAAGCTTCATTCCTTTCGATCACCTAAATAATGTTTTTCATTTGGACTTGTCGCACTAGCTCGTACTAGTCTGAACTTACCTAAACTTACATAAACGTATATATAAATCATTTATACTACATTGCTATTAATAACTACATCTTACACGTTAGTAGTTAGCACAACATTGGCATTGTTATTCAAGAGAGCATCATATATAACTATTTAGTACTACGTACAAACTTGCAAACCATCTCGAGGACGAAGCTAAAATACATAGTTAGCATAGCTTACCTTGTTGGAACGACGTTGGCAAACCTCGGGAACTAGTTGTTGCAACTTTGAGACAAGCTGAATGATTTGATCATCGGAGATTCCTGAACTTCCTGATTGCTGCCTTGACCTTCTGCTAGACATTGTCTTAATGTATCGTAAAAACCCGGCCAACGAACACCCGAAAACTGAAGTAATAAGCTAATTAAGTAAACTTAGTTAAGCTAGCTTAGCTAGTAGTTCTTGCTAACGTAAGTAACAAAAATGAGCATAGAAAAATGTAGTAGAATCTTTGGAAAAATGAAGTTGAACAAGCGAGGTTATAACTTTATAATATAAGGTGGACTGTACATGAAAAATAAAAATAAATAATGAAAAGAAAAGGTAAGAGTATAAATTGATAATTAAGAAGAAGGAAGGACCACAAAGATAAATGTACAATTACATTAGACAGCGATGTTGGTAGTGTAGAAGACATGTGGGTAGAACCAAAAGATGAAGTTAAGAAGAAAGTGGCATTATATTTGAGTGTTATTTTATGTTCCCAACTTAGGGTTTAAGTTCAAGTGGGCTTAAATACAAGTGTTTGTAAATAAGCTAACAAAAGTGGGCCTTAAAATTTGTGTTATGAATCAATTAATGTTAGACAAAGTCCCATGTGATCATTGAATATAGGAGGGCAAGGATGGATTGGATTGGATCTTCTCCAATGAGAAACTCTAAATCTAAACATTATACATAATTACATATATATTTAAGAAAATAAAGGCTCTGTTCACTTCACCTGATAAAAGTAATATTCAAAAAAATATTTTAAGTCTAGTAAAAAATAAATTACATTTGGTAAAAATAATTTAAATTCAGTGAAAAACTAAGCTATGTTCAATAAATAAATAAAAAAAAAAGCTAAATCAAATAAAAATAATTACCAAACTGATAAAAATAATTATAAAATTAGAATAATAATTTGACCAAAAATAATCTAAATGTATACAATAGCCTAAACTAAGGCCACGTTTGTTTTCTTTTTATTTTGTTGTTATTATATTTTAATATTACCATATATGAAAAAACAAGGATCATGGAAGAAAGTTAAGAGAAAGAATCCTAGATTTCAGGGCATTTAATTTGGGCAAGGATGGTGGGAAAGAGAGGGTGTTTAAGTCAACGTACACATGCCATGCTTAGACGTGGAGTGAATTAGTGATTACATGGTACTTGATGAAGAGTTAAATAAAAACACGGATGTTCATACTTATACTACCTTCCTTCTTTTTCAAACTTCTTTCTCAATCAACCTTGCGTGTTTTTTTTTTTTTTATTTATTTTTCGTTGATTTATCTCATTACATGTTTTCCAAATGCTTACGCTTGTCCTATATGTTCGTATGTTACACCTGCATGGGCTGCATCATTATATACATTCTCCATAATCACTCGCTTGTATAAGATATATTTAAACCATATTTTAGTTGTTTTCTATTGACTTTTGACATTATTTACATACTTGTTCTACTTATATTTAACCAACATTAGTTAGTTATATGCTATATAAAGTACAGTCACATGCATGTAGAATCTTCTTATATTCGTTTCAACGTATAGCTCAAAATATCAGCTTTTCATATATTAAGGTTCAAAAGTATGCATTGATAAATAAAATCAATCAAATAAAGATTTCGTGATTATAATCTAGTTAGGTGAACATTAAATTTTGAAATAATGAGGTGGGAATTGAATGAGGTTCCAGTCACAAAGAGAACAAGTTAGAATAATAATTAGGTTACCAACTTAATTAAGTACTAGATTAGGTCCCGTGCCATGCACGTTTTACAATTGTTTATAATTCAACATAAAATTTTTAAAAAACAAAAATAAAATGTTTTGTATAATGCATGTGGAAAAAATATATAACCATAATATATATATATATATTTATTATGTATATAAGAAATGAAACATGAAATATAATGAAGACATAGTAATTAGACAAATAAGTATAAAATTTTAATGATAAATTAATATCGTTTTTCTTTTTATTAACTAAATAATTAAGTATTTTAAAATTTTATATTAAACACTGTGGGATTGTAACATAAATAATTGCTACAGTGTATTTGATACAATTTAGGATAGTGAAAAACATATCTAATTTGTCGTGCTTTTGATATATATAAATAACTAAAAATTAAAAATAAATCAAATAAGATTGATATTGTAAAAAAAAAAAATTATGCTTTTAGGAAGCCGTTTCCTAATAAGAAATTAAAACATTTTGAAATTTCTAAATAAAGAATATATGAATAACAAAAGAAGGCTTAGGGCATAATAGTAATAGTAATAGTAGTAGTAATAGTAATTGTTATAATCAAGTATGAATCAGTTATTTCTAAAACGCATAATTTTTTTATTTTTTTTTATTTTTTTTGTTACAAAATTACTGCACATATAATATATTGAAGATTTGAAGGAATACAATACTGCATAAAGATTAGGAAATAATATATATTCCATATATATACAAAGTAATAGACGTTGGAATAGTATTTTATGGAAAATATGTGAATCACAAATATATATTTTATTTAAGTAAGTGAATGATTTGGTGAATATATTCAGTATATTTTACAATAAGTTGTTGATGTCACCGTGGAAAAAAATTTAGAGGAAAAAACAGTACCAAATTGTGACACGTGTTATTTCTAGAGTCAATTTCTTCCTAGTGTCTGTTTTAATATTAAATTATAGATTGAATAGTATAGATATAGTAATAATAATAATAATAATAATAATAATAATAATAATAATAATAATAATAATAATAATAATAATAATAATAATAATAATAATAATAATCTTGCTCTAGGGTTTTTGATGGGGATATTTATGGGGAGACATGCAGTGTCTTGTGCTGGGATGGTGGATATTAAACATCGGCACAACGTTGTTCGTGATACCCTTGTTGATATTTGTTTCCGCTTTGGGATTTCTGCAAGGAAGGAGGTTAACGTTGGGTTGACTGGAGGGAACGACGGGGCTCTTTGACCAAAAAATGTGTTGCTTTATTCCTGGGATAGAGGTCTTGATGTATGTGTTGTGTCGGCTGCGGCTCAGCGGAAGTGGGACAAGTATGGGGCGCGTTGCAGGGCAATTGGCTATGGTTTTCTTCTTTTCTCCTTTTCTTCATTGGGGGAATTAGAGAAGGATGTTGTTGCGTTGCTGAAGCGGGTTCAGGGGTTTGCTAGGACTCAGGATATTGGTGCTCGTGCAGCTGCTCATATCTTCAACAGGATCGGGTTCGCTATAGCTAGAGGGGCGGGGGCCCAGATTGTATCTCGGCTCCCCACTAACTTCTTGTAAATCAATTGACTTTGTAGGGTTTTGTTATTTTTCTATAATAATAATAATAATAATAATAATAATAATAATAATAATAATAATAATAATAATAATAATAATAATAATAATAAATAAAAGATATGGAAAATATGTGAATCACAAATATATATATTTTTATTAGGAAAGTGAATCACACTCAAATGGTTTGATGAATATATTTAAAGTACTCCCTCTGTTCCCGAAAGTTCAACTCACTTTGCAATTGTGCGATCTCCAATAAACAACTTTGACCATGAATAACTCCGGTTTTGTATAAGTAAAAATTGTAAAAAGTTAATATTTGGATTATTTATAATAAGGGGAATCTAATAAGATCTCGCATGCTAATTTATTTCTATTGTATAGCTCATAAAATGGGGTTAAAGTTATTTTATTTTGACCACATGAATAGTAAGTGAGTCGAACTTTTTGAAACGGAGGTAGTACATTTAAACAAAAAAAAAAAGTAGAAAATAGTTTTGGAGGAAAATACAACACCAGGAAGTGACATATCTCATTACTAGTGTTTGTTTTATTATTATGTTACTAGATGAAAGCCCGTGCGTGCACGATTTTTCATACATATATCTCAAGAAAAGATATTTTCCTAAATACTCTAATTTTATTTTATTTTATTTTATAATTATTTGATTTATTTTATAATTTAATAATTTCAGACAAAAAAAAAACAAAAACAAATAATAATTTAATTAATTTAAAATGATATTGCTAATTACAGAAGTATAATTTTTTTTTAATGTAATTTATAATGCGACTTAATTTATTGTTGTTTTGTATTTTATTCGTTGTTGTTAGTTATATGACAATAATATGATATCTTTCAAAAAAAAAAAATTGTAAATATGATATTTCATTGATTACATATTAGGATAAAATCTTTAATGTGAAAAGATAATAATTTTTTATTTTAAAATAATTTAAATCCTAAATCATTATTCGTTGCTTTTTACCCTTGAAATTAAACTCTCAAATCTATATATCATTTTGTATATTTCTTGTGATCTCTTGATCTCTAACAAATTATCTGTCTTTTAAATTTTTTAGACATAAAATGTTTAAAGAAGGTAAAGTTTTTTATTGCGTTATAAGCTTTAAATTTTTTTTATGAAAAAACATCTTATTAGGGTATTTAGATAAAACCATTAATTCCATAAGATAATATTTTTTTTTAATAATTTAAATCCTAATATCCCACGGTTTTTTTTATACATAAAGGCTCATAAAAATAATTTTTGTAATTAGATCATACTCATAATATTTTTTATTACTTTTCTATTGTTTGTTAAGGATAATTTTTTATTAATTTTATGTAATTCATTCCCCTAATAAATATTTTGATAAGAACATTAAAAATAATAGTTATTAGATGTAAATTTCGATGTAAAAAAATTTATATTAAAAAAAAAATTCGATAGGATCACCAACTTTGTTCACACCTATATCTCTTCCATCTAATAAAAGTGGATAAATAGAACATGTTAGCAAAAATTAAATTATATAAAATTAATCTTTATAGTTTTATAAAATAAATTAAAATATTTACCAGAAAGTGAATAATTTTTGTGAAATTAATCTAAAAATTGTAATTATACAAAATTAAATCTATGCATTGGAATTTTTTCATCGTCCCCAATAGCCCAAACAATAGTATTTTGGAAAATTGAATCATTATTTTGTTGTCGCTGACAATGCGTGCGATATTGCTTCTTATTTGTAGCGACTGAAAAGTATTTAATGGGGTAAACTTTTCCTTCAATCAATTTTGAACAAAATTGTAGAACAAAGTAGACTTTAATTGAGGCATGAACGTAATGACCCTGTAATTAAAAATAAAAAATTAAGTTAATTTTATGACTTAATTAAGATACCTAAATCACAAAAAAAATTTGTTAATCATAAATTAATTGATAAAAACTAAAAGGTTCATTAAAAGATTTAATAAATGTAAACGATTTATAAAGATATAATACCTCCTCATCCAATAGGATCATCAGACGAGAAACTCGTACTTTGATATTCCAAAGATTTTTGCTCTAATATAATTCTCTAATTAAATTAGATTTATATGTAAAAACAAAATTCAGTAAACAAAACATAAACATATAATCATTAAGTATCCCAAAT